TACCCGGACAGACGAACACACACACACAAACATACACACACATACACACATACATACACACACAGACGGTCGTCTCAATATGCGTTTTTGCAATTTGCATATAGGCAAAAACGTATAAAAATGTATCTGACATCATCTAAGATTTACATCTGACCAACTGAGCAAAGCACCACTTAGTAAACTGCGGTGAACTATTACAATTGCAAATTGTCCTATCGAAGCCGACGAAGAAGGAACACATTTGGGATTCACCGATGTACTGCTACATTTTGAGATGTAACGCAATCGAAAAAAAGATAAGGTAAGCCTCAAGGGTTATTTCACAACTCAGCACACTGTCACCGTTCTTCCCCACATCCGGTCCGCAGTCAGACCTCCGGCATACATTTAGATCATCCAGATTTGAAAAGAAATGAATTAGGAGAGACAGAGCTTTGGCAGACTGATGATGAATAAAAATTTTGGATCTCTTCATTTTTATGCGTTCTTGCATATATGCAAATGCAATAACCCATATTGGCAAGAGGCTGTCTGTGTGTGTTTGTGTTTGTTTGTTCGCACTTTTTGCCATCCAATTTCAACTCGAGAACCGGAAAAGCTTGAAAGTTGAAACTTCGGGAGTATGTGGCCACTACCTGTGCAACCCTCGCGTTTTGAAATTTTCATTCGCTTACACCTCGATCTCACGTATGGATGCCTTAAAAAAGCATGCAAACTTATTGGTGGGAAAACGATTGTAGGAGCCAGACAAGATAAGGGGCTGAAACTTTATTGGGATGTCCTCAGTGCGTATATGAGCTAAACATTTCAAACTCGGCTCTAAGTGTGCAAGTTCACACCCATAGGCACGTGAAAGTTTTGGCGGGAAAATTGCTATCTAGACAACCAGAACAGCTGAAAGGCTGAAATTTTAGGAAAATGTTCCCTGTACAACTTGACGTCAAATTCAGCTCCTAGGTGTATGTGGCTTTCACATAAGGGCACGTAAAATTTTCGGCGGGAAAAGTGTTAACTAAACAATCGAGGCATTTTCAAAGAAGGGCTCTTAAACGGAAATTGTTTATTTCTTTTATGCAAAATTTACTACGATTTGCGCTAGTGAACGTAAAAGGTAAGTGTAAAGCAACAATCATTCCTGAGTTAACGACGTGGTTACTTCAAATCCGTTGCAAAAATATACGATCGCACTGGTAGGCCTGGTGCATTCCATCAAGGGTTTGATACGTTTGGCTCAGCACGTTTGCAAAAACATTATGCATGGATTCAAATTAATGCATTTTCAGTTTGAACAAATGCAAAAAACCTGCTTAAAAACGAATCTTTACCGGGTTTTATAGAAAGAAACCGTTCGACAGCTCGAATTTCCATTGCCGGATTTGTTATTAGTCGTTCGCCGTCAACAAAGTGAATCTGATGAAGTGGAAAATACTGCAGCCATTTTCTGATATGCTTGTGATAAATTCCAATTCTGATAGCCCCCCACGATGCATTCACGCCATCCTTCATACCTGTACGATACAGCAGTAACTTTTAATTTTGATTTTAGTTTTTTCAAGGTTCAGTCCAGTCTCCACTAGCCGTAAGCACACTTTAGTAATTCGTTTATTTTTTGTTTGTTAAAGCTCGCGATTACTGTATTATGCGTTTTTGTGTTTGTCTGTTGTAGATATAGGGCGCCGCTTCTTTATAAAACAAGGAATATAGATCTATCGCTATGATATTCTTTCGATCATCCAGATCACAGAAATCTAGGGATCATTGCTTGCTCTAGCGTGATGTTTTACGTCATACTTTAGCACAAAATGAGTCGGAAAACAGCTGATTTGTTGGCTTATTTCATTTACGCCACTGAGTGGCAAATTTACTTTACTGAACTATTCTTTGATCATATCACACCTTAGTGCTATAGACGCACTTGGCAACCTTCCTTGCCACTATAACTAAACGTCTCTGAAACTAAGGCTCGACATCACCCAATAACCGGTCTGCTGGTGATCTTCTATTGTCCATCGCCTTTTTTTCACAAAGATTATTAAATGTGCAGAATTCCCTTCCCGGCCTACCTAATTTCTCAACCCAACTTTTAGCAATTTGCCTTGATGCCTTTACAAGGGGTCCTTACGAAAAAATTTATGAGGGGTTGACTCCACAGGATTTCCAACTACGCTGGATTTCCAGCTCCGAAATACTCAGAATTTCATTAACAGACTACCATTTGACCCTGTACGGCAAATCGAAGCTTCGACACTTTGTGCCAGCAATCTAGCCTCATGAAATTCAGAAAATCAGCTCAGAGTAGGAGTCGAGGACAGCTGAAGAAAACTGCGAGATTGAAAAGGCCACATCGAATGCTGCGTTCGTGAAATTTCAGCTTGCAGCTTCCCGGAACCGAATTATCTAAGAAATACACAAACAGAAAATCTCTCCACCACTGCGTCTTTGATCTGTGCAGAAAAAGAAACATGCAAAATTGAACCAATTGCATTTGTTGAACTGTTGCCGAGTACCATTTCCTCAAAGCTTGGGAAAATTGCGCTCCGTCGCTTTTTGCTAATTGTTTGCGTATAGTCTGAAAACTCAGATAATTAACGCAAGCACCAAAGTTGCCACCACCAAGGGTTTTCACATACGCACCTGATATTGCTCTTGTGATCGGATTTCGGACGACAACAATCAGCTTGATCGTTGAATTGAAGCTATGCACTCGTGCAGGAGCTGTTTTACTCACAAAATAAGCTGGTGTTTTTTCGACTGTAACTTCCGAATCGATTGTTTCCGGCATTTTGTTCCTTGAATAATGTTCAACAATAATTTTAACAAGTGAAGAAAGCGTTTAGTTTCTGGTTTTTTTTTTTTCGGCAAATTGTTAGCTTCAGCAGCTTCAAAAAGTTTTGCGTGCCGAAAAATAATCGCTGATTTCCATTCTTCAGTATATTAGCGTATTTGGTAAGTAATATTGCACTCAACTCGGTTAAAAATGTGTGAAGTGGTGATGTATCGTTCATAAAGAACGGCTGTAGTTGATGCGAGGTGCGGTCGGATGCGGGAGTAGGGAGCGGAGGTCTGAGGGAGTGATGGATGAATGATTTTGGAGGAATGTGTGAGATCGATCGCTGCAAAGCTGTCAAGATGAGATGGACAGCACGTTCGGTCTCTCCAAAAATCAAAAGTTTGACCTTTATCCATCAGCCATCTCTTCATTATATCTCTATGCGGTTAACCACAGTTTGTGATGTAACTGATACCTTTTCTGATTCCATTTCCCAAGCCGCCCTGGTGTTATTACTATCCTTCCGTCTCCCTCGGTTCCTGTCCGATACAGTACCGAGGCTGCATCAGTTGCGTCATATTAGCTTCCTCCTGTGTTCCCTTTCAATTAACACCACCGCATTTCTTTACAACTTATTTATTCGTTACCGCTCTATGTCCGTTATAACACTTTCACTTTTTCTGATGTCTTTATTGCATCATTATTGCTAACAGCTCATAACCAAAGCTCTTATTATAGCTTAAATATAGAATTCCTACAATCTTGAGCATTTTTAGTGCGGTAACTGTGGACGACAGTAACTGGGAAAGTTCCCAGTTGAATGGATGAAGTTGGAATACAGAAACGAAGCTAACAAACTGCGAGACAAGCAATTTACATCTTAATGCCAAAAGAAATGAATGTTATTTTTTTCCGATGTCAGATAATCAAGCTGACGACGTTGCTCTTTTAGGTTAATAATTTTCTGAATTTGACAGTTAATAGAGCTTAATTAGGTCACAGTTCTGACTAGCTTCTTTGTTATATACGCGTGTTTTATACGTGATTTCGGGTCTCTCTGCATTCGAAATAAGCCGCATTTGAGAATTCCTGTGCAGTCAATCAGTCAAACCTGATCGCATTTTTTGCTCGCAATGGCCATTATGGGAAAGCGGGACCTCTTAGATAAGTTCAAAGATCACACATAAGCCAAGTGGTATTTCCTTCACTTAAAAAAAAAATGAAAATAAGAAAATGTCAACATCACCAGCAAGCTAATATATCACTGGATGTAGCTTATGTAGCTTTGTTCAAAATATCTATAAAGGAAGGAAAACTAAAAATTCCCTTAGCGCTGCGCACCTCCGAGTTACCGCGATGGGAAAGCTAATGAGGGGCGAAGGAACTAGTCACTCTGTACATTTAAATCGAAATACATTGGACGGCAAGCAGTAAATCTTCGGCGACGTGAAATGTACAAATTTTACTGCGGTATATCTTGCTATTAGCTACATCAGACGCAAAATGGAAGCAAAGACCAAGATGGCAAGAAGCCACAGTGGCAGAAACTGGATGTAGGGCGCTGGTGGTGTTCGCTTCTTTTGCGTCTGATGTAGCTAATAGCAAGATTCACAAGTTAAGATCCTCTTGCACGGCCATTAATTACCAGTTTATTCGGACTACTGAAAATCAGTGCTTCGTCTTTTGGAATCGAGCTGTAAGAAGTCGTGGCGTTGAGCTCAGCAGGTTTTTCCCGGTTCAGATGCACTTTTAGTACGTGGCTCAAAGCAATAAAAACAAAATGTGTTTTATCCGAATTACGCTCATTACAACAAACGGGGGTATTTGCTAAAAATATAAAGTGGGTGGTAAACGTTAACAGTGGAGTCGATCGCAGCCAACAGTTGTTAAAGGGGTTAAACGTTAATGTAGTAACCGATCGGCGATAACGATTGTTAGCTGGTTAATAGAGTAGGAGGTCGCTGCAGCGTGCTTAACAGCAGTTGAGTGCAGCTAACAATGCTTTCTTGTTGGTCATTAAAGATAATCGATAATAGGTTATGAAGTAAGAATACCTTTAGGAGATTATACGTGGTTAAAAATTGGAGGGTAAAAATCCTGTACTGTGGTAAGTAGATAAGAAGTATAAGAAGAATTTTGGAGTAAAGGGACTTGACAATTGCCTGGCAATGTGTTTCAAAAATTAAGTGGGCTACATCCTCATCGACAAGCAAAGATTGATTACAGTGCAACAGTGCTCTCAATCTGGAATCATCAGTTCTATATGAATTTCTAGACGCGGTGACAAGTTCTCTTTGCACTACACTAGATGCTGCATACTAAAATTATTATTATTAGCATTGTCGTTTATTGTTCATTTGTATGCTGTTGAAAGGACTAAGTCATTTCTCTGTCCATGCTAGAAAATTGCGCAAGTTGAGGTTTAGCGCCCCTAATAACAGTAAAGCTACCGTGTGTGTGCAAAGTGAGTAGTTGTAGGGAATTAACATTAGCATGTATATTTTGCACTAATTGAATATTTTGTTGGATAAGGACGGCCAGCGACGCGCGGTTCGAAGCCAATTAGTAATTGAGCCTGCTCCGCTCCGCTTTTGGCTCTGTCAATTCTAGACGCTCCGTGCTTAATCATTTCCCGTCCCAGGCAGCCCAGTGATGCCATTACCGGAGATCGAATTCTAATTGAGCAGTTCTCTGTTCCCAAGAGAAAATATTAAGCAGTCCCACTAATGCAGTTCATTTTCTAAGTCTGAAATAAAATTTCCATTTCATTTATCAATAAATTTCTCCTCTGTCATCACTTCGTAACAGTACTGTGACTTGAATTCAAATCTTCCCTCCCCTCCGCTTCTTTCCCTACCCTCCCCTCTCTCACTTAAATGCTGGCTTAGCGTTTATTGCATAACCAGCTCTACCGATAAAAATGCATTCTTGCAGTTTCCTTTCGTAGACGGGACAGCTGGGATTTCCTATTTCAGTTCCTCAAACGATTTTAGCATCATCCGTCGTTTCAGTGATCACAGTCAAAATATCCGTTACCTGTTCACTAGCGCGCTGTATAACAGATCCTCTCAGAAAATAAAACTAACTCAGTTAATCTCACCCCGGTGAGAGTCTGAAAAGTTTCAAGACAGTACATCCAAGCACATTATATTAGGCCGAAAAAGCGTTGCGCCATGTGATAAATTTCGGAGAGTACAGATCGCTGCGAAGCTGATCAACTAGTTGCATTCAGAATATGGTTTTGTGGCTCTGGTAATTGACCTAGAGCAAAACAACCTGGATTAACAGCTTCGGTATGCGTTTACGTCCTGTGTTACCAAGTCTGCGAGTTTAGGCTCTCAGTTGATCGACCTATGACTTTTCTAATGATGTGTAACGGAATCGTTTGATCGCGAAGTAGGGGTACAAAAGAATAAACGGAAATGTATTAGAATATATTGGCGAAATGTCCTTGATTGGTTTCATGTGCCCACATTCTCCGTCCCCCGCCCTCCCTCCCCAATTTACCACTGCCATCTCAGTTGTGCGAAAATCCTTCTTGCCCGTTTTTATGGATTAGGCAATAAATTGGCTTTCAAATGAGCACTTCAAGTTGACGGTACGCGATAATGGCAGAACGGTGTAATATAAATTGGACGAAGAAATTAGACTCGTGCATTTTATTGTCACGCGTGTACACGTACGCACACGCGCGTTTACACCCATACATTCCTGCACAGGCATAACTTCATCAAAATGCCTCTTCATTTGCATAATAAGTTAAAATTCAGTCTCGGGTAGGTGCAAAAAGAACAGGAACTGCAGCTTCAACACTGCCAGCATTATTAAAAATAGCTTTTCAAATCATACTATGCACTATTTTTAGTTTCACAGAATAGGACTGCTGTCCTAAAATGATAATTGAGTTTCGCTTCTAGTGCGGTTGAAATCAAAATTTAGTCAGTTTGAGCTGAAAGATAATTAGCTCAAATTTTAACAAAGAGAGAAAGCGAGCGATTCTACTTCAAATTTTGCCAATTCACTAAAGTAATAAAAGCATATTTTGTGCTCTTATTGAATTTGCATGCGTACTGTGAATTGAAAAAAACTACTCGATGAAATCTGAAGTCAAGTGGTTGTTGAAAAACTGAGACGAAATCTGCAGTCACTAGAGAAACGCGAAAAAAAAAAAAGATTTCGAACATATTCTGAAAACCCATATAAGATAGCATCCGTTTGCATTTTCGAAATTATCGGCACACCGCCAAACTGGAAAACTCAAACTACCGGCACATTTCATTTGCTGTGGGATGGCCAGTGCTACATTTCGTATAAAATAACTACCAAAAACGCCAGACACCAAGCACTGTTTTTCAGGAGAGTCTCTTTCCGAATGTCTGTTTTTTGCCAGATGCTCAATAAAATCAATAATCGGCCAACGCACGGGCTGCCCGCGCGAAGATGCGTTTTTTGCATAGTTCCCCGCAGTTTTTGTTACTGCCGGCACCGGTTTTTTCGGCAAATGCTCCTAGCTAAACAAATTAAGATTGGCCGCCAGAACTGTTAGAAAAAAATCCCTTAAAAATTCAGCTTTTTAGCTTTCTTGGCTCCTGAGTTAGCAATTTACCCGAAAAAAAACTTTGGCGGGCCTGCATTTGGGTACCACGCGTAGCCAGAGTCTGGATTTGAGCTCAATGAGACTTAGGTGAACGGGGAATATTCTCTTAAAATTACGGTCCTTTAGCTTTTCAAATTCCCGAGTTATCAACTTAGCCGAAAAAAACTTTAGTGGGCCCGTGCGTAGGTATCACGCACACCCGAGGGCTGGGTTTGAGCACATTAATATCCACTTGGACGGGAAACATCCCCTTGACATTTCAGCTTCTAGCTTTTCAGATTCTTGAGGTTGATAACTTGGCGGGCCCGTACGCGAGTACCACGCTTACCCTGGGAATGGATTTGAGCTCATTAATACCTACTTGGACGGGGAACATTATCCTAAAATTTCAGCATTCTAGCTTCTCAGATTCCCG